CCACTTGATGAGTAAGCATCCGCGATAATTCCTATTGATTGAGTCGCCTAACCCTAGGTCACTAACCTCTCTTTCTCTGTGAAGTGAGGCCAATAGATTGGATGAATAATTGAGCCAAAAAGTAATATGTATTAGACCTAACACGATTCCAAATAGAAAAACTTTTCTTCGCCTTCCATCCAAGCAGGAAAGGCCCAAACCCAATTTTAGGGATAGTGAAATTTTATAGGATCTTTCTGTCTAGTTGCCAAATAGAGAATCATATTTGATCAAGTTATCATAATGCATTCCAATGCCAAAGCTTCCTAATCCTACCAAAGCAAGGAGTTGTTGACCTATACATTAAAATTTTAAAATAACATAATCAACTTATATAGTTGAAAATGTGTAGTTATTGTAGAGATGCAACAAAGACATCAAATTTCACAATGCTTGGTCCAATATTAAATTAAACTTGATTTCAAAAACTCATTAAAATACCGGGAAAAGAAGAAAGAAATAACAATCTCGACCCTAAGCAAGATCTCAAAAGCTATCAGAAATAGTTTGCAAATTTTATGTTCACATCTTGAATTAAATTTTAGCTCAAAATGTTTCAAAGTATCAGCTCATCTCGACTCGTTCTTATAACAATGGTTTAAGTAGCCTTTTGATCCAATGCCATATTAGAATACTTAATTTCAAAAAAAAATTAGAATCAAACTACACAATTTTCCACCTACTTTCAATCTGTCGTTACTCGTTATGTTTATCTGAAGATGTTAAGTCAATTTGTCTCACCTTAATTTATTTGTCATGACTTGATTGTAGAAACGACAAACAATAATTCTTATTCAAGCATCAAAGAAATAGAATATTTGATGGTTATCCACAAAGAACAAGACACTATAAATCAACTTTTCCACATTTGCTAACCATAACATTGACATAAAGCATTAACCCACCACCACTGATGTAACTTCAATATATATGTTAATTCAAATTTTGTCTTTAACATCACTCTTCACATAAACAATGAATTCTTTTTAAATAAAAAATTTGACATATATAATGCTTTGTTATAGATAGAGATTAGTCACGATATTCAAATAATATATATTTTGCATGACTTTAGTATTGTATTAAGGGGTCGTTTGACATGACTTTTAAAAAATTAAAAATTGTTTTTTAGACTAAAAAATTATTTTTTGAATATAATTTTCTTGAAGTATTTTTTCTGCTTAGAAGAATTAGAGGAAGCTGACATAAAGTAATCTTATCAAAAAATTCTTTTACAAAAAATAAAAAGAAGCAAAAATCCTACTAATAGATCTTAAACATTTCATTTGATTCGGCCCCGTTTGGTATCCATTTTTTTCAAAATGCATTTTTCTTTCTCTTCTTTTCAACCACACATTCTTCATTAAAATAATATTACACGTAAATCAAAAGCTTTTTTTTATTTTTCAACCACACATTTTCCACCAATTTATTATTCCAAAATGCTTTTCTACACAAAAAATGACTCCCAAACACCCTCGAAATTTTAAACGGTTAGAAATGGACCAGCTATCTTCCTGCCCAATAATTTTGGGCACGTAACTTCTGTGTCAAACGTTGTAATAAATTCTTCACATCCGTCCAATTGAAGTCCCAACTTGCGACGCAATGTTCAGATGAAGAGATGTTTACTCTAAGAATTTCTAATCACGACAAGTTTTGATTCTTACAAGTGGGAGAGAACGTAAAAGTACTAATAGAAATCTAGAAACAAAGCTTTATATTGTCTATTTATTTACAAAAATGTTTAAGTATTCAATATTTAATTAAGAAAAATAAATTCGACCAGCATATTGTAGAAAAATGTATTTCGAAGATAGTATACAAATTATATTATTCATAGTTTAATAATAAAATAAATATAGACAATGAATGGAACCCAATAAAGTTTAACATGTATGAATATATAATAGTTTTAATTCATAAATTTTTGAGTTCACAGCATCTTAAAGGATAAATCTGCTTGTTACAAGCTTACATCCCCTCACAGCTCGGAGGCCCACCAATTTTTTGCCATTTTTGATTGAGTGTGGGCCTCCCGAACTGTGAAGAGTGTGTCAATCGAGCTGTCAAACTAACTGTTTGTGCAGTTCGACTGCATCTTAAAAGCCCGTACGATGGTCGTTCGTACTTAACGGCCACATTATTAACTGATGTTTTTAATTGAAACACTTTCGTGAAATTAAATTAAATTATAAAAATTTCATTGAACGGTAGCTGGGATTATAATTAACCCAATAACTTTTTCTTAATATAAAACTTTATCTTGCTAGTAGCATAGGGAAATCAAGATAAAGACATGAAATATTAACATAGACCTATAGCTAGTAGTTAAGTAGACCGGCAATGCTACTAATATGTTGATGCAATTACGAATAGGCTTTTGGAATATACTGAAATTTGAGACAATAACTCCAAACGAATTGATATAGTTTCTAGAACAATCTCGAAAACTAATTTACTTTTGATTAAAATTTGGATGAATGGCGATGTAGCGCAAAACAAGGAATTCGAGCGAAAACCTTAAGAACAAGAAATTTGGAATCCATCAAATTATGAAGAAAATAAGCTTAAGAAATTTATTAATGTATAAAAAAAATGAAATAAACCTCTTATTTATAAGGGTTTATATGGAAAACGTAGTTTAAAATAACTAAAATTAATGAAAACAAAGTTTAAACAAACTAAAATTGAAAGAATCCCAAAATAAACGAAATGACAAAAGTAGCTCCAAAACTTTAAAAATCAATTTTCGAGTCCTAAATGAACTCGAATGGCCGAAATTCATCGTACAACAGAGCATAGTAGTGAGTATTGTTTGTCTCGTCATCCTCTTTTCAAAATGGTCTTATGAGCAATACATTTTTCTTGACATGTCCTACATCAAATGGTTACTTTTCCAAGTAGAAATATAAGTTGTTGAGTGAAATTGTTTTCAGTTTTGAGCAGCAATAAATTTGTTAGACTTTGTCTTCTATATAAGTTTTCAACCTTAAGGATTTCCCGTTGGGAAATTTCTTTTTAAGATAGAAGACAAACCTTTATAACTTTCATGTATTTTCTCTAATATTCTTAATTAAATACATAGGGAAAACAAGTTGAACATTTGGAAAAGTGCAACAAACTTTGGGCAGCTCAAAGCTTGTTGAGATTGCACTAATTTGGGTATTTACCGAAGGCCAGGACAAGAAACGCCGAAGGAGGAGACTTTTGAGGAGGTTAATGCTATCTCTATGTCCCCATGTGGCATGTTAGGTAGATGTTTTAATCACTCGTCTTGCTAAATTGTGATGTTTAAGTATTGTCATTGCATGGAGTCGGTTCATAAATTGACCTTGTAATTTCGATTTTGCACTTATAAGGATAGTTAAAAAATTTCATATTTATAATTTTGATTCTACTATAGTTTTTATTATAAATAGATTGTACGATTTTTCTTTTATAAACTTCTTTTCAACATAATTAATTATTGCAGTGACGAACCGATATAATTGTTTCTTGTCCTTTTGTGTGTTTATTATTTTACTACTGTTTTATTGCTTTTTATTATATACACTATTAAAAAATAACTTTTCATCTACGGAAAATTATCAACGGATTGCATCCGTTGGTAAAAGTAATTCACTTTTAGCTACGATAATTAGCAACGGATTTTTCGTTGGTAAAGATGATATCTATTTACCAACCGATATTCCGTGCCTAATGTAATTGTTTAACATTTGGATCTTCCTCCAACGGATATTCCGTAGGTAATGTACCGAATATTACCAACGGATGCAATTCGTTGGTAATTAGAAACAGATTATCAGTTGGTAAAAATAATTCACTTTTAGCTACAATAATCAAAAACGAATTTTTCGTTTGTAAAGATGACATCTCTTTACCAACGGATATTCCGTGTCTAATATAACTGTTTAACATTTTGATTTTTTACCTACGGATATTCCGTCGGTAATTAGAAACGGATTATCCGTTAGTAAAAATGATATTTCTTTACCAACGGATATTTCGTGCCTAATATAACCGTTTAACATTTTGATCTTTCAACAACAGATATTCCGTTGGTAATTAGAAACGAAATATCTGTTGGTAAAAATAATTCACTTATCCCACATCGAAAGTTTATAACAATATCTTTGTAGTTGCCCTCTATAAATTTGTGGTCCAATAAGAAGTTAAACAACCAACGGAAAATCTGTTGATAAAATGTTTACTCTTTACCTACAGCATGATCTATTGATAATTATCAGCGACCCTCAAATTACCAACGAATTTGTGGTTACAAATATTCCATTGCTGAAGATTATTAGCAACGAATATTGAGGCTTTATGAACGAAAGATTCGTACTTGAAACTCTATTTTTTAGTAGTCATAGAATTACAATTTCTATTTCATAACTCATCTCTCTCTCTGTCTCTCTCCTTTTCGATCCGAGCACAAATATATCAGTTTGGTTTTGCAACCAGAAAATGAGTGTTAATGTGAACTCTTTTCCTTATGATTATTGACAAAATAATGGCGGCCATCTCTTTTGTTGTTATTAGGCAACAATCACTCCACCTTCCCCTTTTTCCAATTTCATCATGTCTCATCATGCCATCTTATCCCATACTAATGATATTTCGTGGTATTTAAGGTATACTTGACTCAACCCTACGAACCATAGGAAATACAACAAAAATCAAATAAGACAGTATTTTCAATAAAATTGGGGTCAGGTATACCCATTCTTTGTCGTCACTCAGTGCAATTCAAACAGTAGGTGTGAGAACAAGCTATCACACTTGTCATAGTTGTATGGTATACAAACACTTTAGTTTTCACAAATTTACAAAAGACTTTATTACAAGATAAATAGATAGAAAGTGTCCAAAATAGAGCTGTGGAAAATTCATGGGATAACAAGCATTGAACTGTGCATGGGACAATAGGGATTGATAAAGACCTCAACTGCTAAACAACAATTTACTTCATATTAATAAGCCCTCATTTTTCTTAGTTTCAGACGAGCAGTAAATCTATGATATAATCAACAACATCTTTCCTTAAGTAATACAAAATTTTGTCCCAGTTTAGAAAACCCTCTAGTGATGGAAGCATTAGAGGAAAATGAAACTGCCCACAAGAAAAATCTCTCAAAAAAGATGAGCAGAAATGCTAAGAGGTTTAGTGATGAGCAGATAAAGTCATTAGAATCCATTTTCAAGCTTGGCAGCAAGCTTGAACCTAGTAAGACGCAACAAATAGCTAGAGATCTCGGGCTGCAGCCGCGCCAAGTAGCTATTTGGTTTCAGAACAAAAGGGCAAGATGGAAGTCGAAGCAACTCGAGCAAGATTACAAAGTGCTTAAAGCCAATTATGACGATTTATACATGAAATTTGAATCTTTGATGAGGGAAAAGCAGTCTTTACAAATGCAGGTATCTTATTCTTTTGCTTTCTCCTTGTTCCAAATAGTTCCCTTTCAAGTCATTTGTCAAATTCCTTGTATGCATGCAAGACAAAATCGAGTTTGAATAATTTCCCAATCTAATTAGCGGTCTGATATGGAAGTACTTCTTATCCCAAGAATTGGTTCTATTGGTTTCCCATGGCAAACTGCTTGTTTAAAAGTTTTTTGTCCTGTTTGGCCCTCATTTCTTAAAACTCATTGTTCTCAAACTCTTTTTCAATCACACATTTTATAGACTACAACTTTTATCAACATTCAACCACATATGTCATAAATTTTTATCAAAATCTACTAAAATTTTAGTTTGTATCAAAACCAAGCAGGGGCTTAGTTGTTTGCGAAAGACCAATTGTATTAATTTAAATATTGTCATAAACATGGCCCAATGTGCAAAAAAGATGTGACATGTGTACAAATTTATAAATGAGTGACGATAAGACTTGAACACGTATAATCATCTAATATGAAGGGAGAAATGTATTCATTTAAATGTTATCTTTAACGCGTCCACAGTTACAGCAACTAAAGAATCTACTAGAGAACCCTCTTGATGAAAATGCTGAATACAAAGAAATACCGGGTTTCCCAAATTCAGAACAAAAGGATCCCAACGGAGTTATACACGCAGATGATGAGGAAAAAATCAGCAACCACTTTGGGCAGGAAGAAGAAGGAGACAGTTCACCTTTGGCATCAACTGAAACATGGTGCAATCTTTGCTCAGATGACCTATTTGATCAGTCATGTGACACTTCCAATTGGTGGGAGACTGTGTAATATTATACATGCTTGAAATTTAGGACTTCCTAACGATGGTTCCTTTTTTGAGAAATTTGGTAAGAGGCTTAGTTGATTCATGTGCGTGATTTATATTTTGCTCATGTTTGGTTTGACTAAAAATGATTTTTGGTAGATTTTGATAAAGTTGATGAAATACGTGGTTGAAAATTTGATAAAAATTGTGGATGTGGTTCAAAATGAGTTTAGGAAAAAATAAATTTTATAACTTTTGTTTCTTTCTCGACCTTAAATCAATTGTGTTTCAAGTTAATTGGTTTCATTGTGAGTAAATGAAATCGAACCAAACCAAAACCAGATAGTTCGACTAAAGCTGAAAAGAAAGATGTAAATCATTTAACTCAAGGCTTGGGCATTCCATCTGCTTGATAGCATGGCATTTGTCTAGGAAGGTCCTTGCTCTAAACTCTATAAGCTTTCAATATCGTTTTGTTTCTGAATTCATACATTTAGTTCAGACGACAACCTGAAACAATTAAAGCAATTGTTAATTTAATATTTTTTCGAATTTGAGAAAAAGAAAAAAAAATTGGTTTATTTTAAATTATATTATTTGAAATTAAAATTGGGTGAGCGAGAATTCATTTTCAAAATAGGTGTACTTAACCTAAACTATTATTAATTAAAGACTTTTATAGATTTAACCCCTGTTTAACAACCATATTTTTTCTCAAATTTATTTTCAACCAAACATTCTCACAATAAAATATTCTGCAAGTAAATTCAAAAATTTTTCCTATTTTTTAACTATACATTCTCCAGAATATAAATATTTGAAAGCCTTTTTTTTTTTTTTTTAATTTCTGAAGGACCTCATTTTAACAGTTATCAAACAAGGGCTTAAAAAGTCTAGGCATATTCAATCAAGACTTTTTAAGACATGTTTATGAGACTCTAGTTCGGAGTCAACCTATGAGCACTAAAGAACAACCAGTACATCTTTTTAAGTAAATTTAAGATTCTTAGCGCCGCTAATTTCCGGAGGTATTCAATATAGATTTTCATAAACTTTTAAAAGTCATGGAGTACTAAAAAGACTTGAAATCTTAAAAAGTTGCCGAGTAACTAAAATATTAATGATTTTTATAAAATTATTCACGTACTAACTTTCAATAAGGAAATACAAATATACAATCTCATTAAAAATTTCATTCACCCACAAGAATTTTAAAAGATTTCACAAACAGAAAAAATCTAATATTTCTCATTTTCCTTTTCTTCCTCAACATTATATTACTATCATTCTTTTTTTAATTTTTTTAATGTCTTTTGTTCTCTCTTCTTTTTCGTCATTTCTCATTCTTCCTATTCAAAAGATCATTTTGTAAATAAAAATTCTTATAAGATTTTCCACTCTTCTTTTTCATGTTTTTCTCCAATTTTTCAATAGAGAAATATCAATTTCTAATCAAAATTCTATAAAAATACAAATAATTTTTATTTTATATAGTGGTTGCTTGTTTAATTTAATAAATTTATATAGATTTGAACATATCGATAATATTGAACATTAGAGATCTTTTAGGTGACTTAAACAATATTTTTATTGACATGATAGATATAATTTTGTTGTCGTGTATTGTTGACCATCTAATCATGCAATTAGTGATTCAGAAGTATGTTCAATAAGTTACATGTTAGATTTTTTTTTTCTTTATCTTTGCAAAAACAAATGAATTCTATAAAAAAAGTTTTTAAATGAAATTTATAGAAGTCTACAAAAACTTTATTAATTCTGAAAATAAACATAAAGTTAATAACAGTTCATTGAACTTTACATAAGTTATTTTCATAAGTCTTTAAATATTCAAATTGAATTATGAAAATTATACTTTTATTTAGTCTTTCCTATTCAATCAATATTACCCATAATCGCACTTCAAAAATATTATCAATAAAATTCTAATTACATTTTATCTAGGGTTTATTTGAGCCCAATCTTTATTGAGAATAAATTTTGTAATAGTGATTTCTTTTTAAATGTTTGATTAACAGGCAGGAATTTTATTTTATTTTATTTATTTTTTTATGTGAATTTACATGTAAATTTATTTCATTGGAAGAGCATAATACTAAAATGAGTTTTTGAAAAATTGGTATAACTTATTGCTTTATCTTAAGGGCCTGTTTGGGGAGTCTTTTTTCATTCATTTTGACTTATCTTAGGTGGCACCGTTTAAGAGGGATAGAAAAAATCGGCGCTTGCTAATTTTTTGGACACCGATTTTGGTTTAAAAACTACCCAAAATCGTTGTAACGCAACTTTGACTCATTTTATTAACCCATCAAATCCATATTCTCTTTTATTTTACACTCTATAAAATAATTATTTCAAATCAAAATATTTTGTTCAAAATTAACTTGTAAATAAAACTATATTAACTAAAAAATTATTTATGAGAAAAATATTATATTATAATTAAAATATTACACATAAGATAAAAAAAAATTATTTTTAAGTAAAAAATTTTGTTTATAAAATAAAAATACTACTAATAAGATGAAAATTCATTTATAAATTATAAAAGGTTACTTATAAATGAAATTCACTTAAAAATTATTTAAATTTACAATTAAATTTACAAAATTAACTTAATAATTGTAAAGTTTACTTATAAGAGAAAAACACTAACTTTAAGTTTTAATTTAATATTTAACTTGTTATATGTAAAAAAAATTACTTATAACTAAAACATCATTTATGAGTTAAAATTTCATACAAGAAACTATAAACTATAAATTTTACTATGGGACATATATGTAATTTTATTCTTTTAAGAAATTTTCAGAAGGATGGTTATATTGCCATCACAATTTTTATTTGTTACATCAGATTTTAATTGCAGTTAAGCTTCTCAATTTTTGCATATTGTAGCAATTATTTTTTTAAATTTGTTCATCAAATTTTTATTTTCAACTATCCATTAATTAGTATATCTTATCATTAATGATGATTTATATCCAAATATTTTGTTTTCATACTTTAAAATGAAGAAAAAATAATTTTTTGTATATTTTATTTATTTATTCTTTAAAAATATATGGAAAAATAAGTTACTTTATATCATTTCAACGAACATTTAAATATAAAATTGTTATCAAATATAAAATATGCTCATTTTAATAAAAAATTTGATGACAAAAGCATCAATTTCAATTCAATTATAAACGCCCAAAATCAATACTTTAACACAAACCTCTTATCCGTCCATCATTTCCCTGATAAAAAACACAGAACACAAAGCAAACAATCCAATTCATTCACCTTAAAATCCACGGAAGAACAAAGAAGCACGCAACATCTACAATGCCTCTCTCTGTGTCAATTTCAGTACCCACTGCATGCATAAGCTGTTTTGCCTCTTCCAACAAGTCTACTGCTTCTTCCCCGCCATTGTTAAAGAACCTCAGATTCCCACGTTTCTGGCCCTGGCAAAAGGTAATGCCCTCCAAACCCAACAAAAATAAGAATTTCTCGTGTTGTTTGGTCGTCACTTGTGTTTTGTATTACTGACTGATTATTCAAAAACCCATATGATTAATTCCCTTACCGTTGCGCGGATTTAGTTTCTTGTTCTTATGTTAATATCTGATTTTATGTAGATTTAGACCTAACTTTAGTTTGTGGGTTTATGAGAAATTGAGCTCCCTTCCCTTACAAGCCAGTTTACCTGTGTGGATTTAGTACTTGTGTGTATTGCACACGTGGAAAAAGAGTGATGTTGTAGTTCATCAGTTCCTGTATTGTGATGTCAAATTATATGGGATTAGCAGGTGAAGATGGGTCCATTGAGCGTGTCTCCGATGGGATTTGGGACATGGGCATGGGGTAATCAGCTTCTGTGGGGCTATCAAGAATCAATGGACAGTGAGCTCCAGCAGGTTTTTAATATTGCCGTTGTGAATGGGATTAACCTGTTTGACACGGCTGATTCTTATGGAACTGGAAAGTTGAATGGACAAAGTGAGAAGCTTCTCGGGAAGTTCATACGAGAGTTTGAAGGTTGATCTTTTTATTTGTCTTATTTTATGAAGTTTAGCTAACTTGACATTTAATCAAGAAAGCTTTTTTGATTTGTAATGTATTAAACTATAATGGTATGCAAGAATGGCTATCTTACTTAATCAGTGATAAAATTCATACACCTGTGTTTCCTTTAGAAAAGGAAATCTTATGAACGGTGCAATTAGATAAATTCTGGCTTGAGTTTTCCATTATGCCAAATTTCAATAATATCCACTTCTAATTATGGAAGTTTTACCAATTCAGATTACCTCGAGCTCTTTTTTTTTTTTTTTTTTTTTTTTTTGGGGGGGGGGGAAAAAAGGATTTGGAGTGTGTTTCAGCTTGATTAAGAAGAGATGTAATTAGAAAGTTAATTTTTGCAAAATAAAAGGATTTGGGGTATGTTTCAGTTTAATTTTTCATATGGGGATCCAAGTTAATTAAATTTCAAGATGAAGATATTTGTTAGAATTTTAATTTATTTTATTTATTTATTTATTTTTGCTGAATACAAACTTGGCTATTTGCATGTTCAGGAAATAAGCAGGTGCAGGATAACATTGTTATCGCTACAAAATTTGCTGCATACCCATGGCGGTTAACACCCGGTCAATTTGTGAATGCTTGCAAGTATGCTTCATCTTCATCTAATTATACAATATTCAATAAACCCAGTGGAGCCGGTAACCTGTTTGAGTACATCGTTTCAAAGCATGTACAGGTTCTCGAATTTTCTTTTCCAGTATCCGTTGCAGCAAGTTGATGGAATGTGGGATAATGAGACTGCCTTGAATAAATAAATAAATAAATTATATCAACTTTGGCTATTCGCCTAAGTAGATAAATTTTGATGCAGAATTATATTTCAGGTCTTCATTGGATCGGATGCAAATTGAGCAAATAGGAATAGGGCAATTACACTGGTCAACTGCAAATTATGCTCCTTTGCAAGAGCGGGCTCTTTGGGATGGTTTAGTGGCAATATACGATAAGGTCACGATGAACTTATAGCATATCTTTGTCCAATGAAAATCATGATGAATACCAGCATAAAAATATGTTGCCTCTTCTATCATTGCACTGTTCTTGTTGTGTGGATATTTTGTGTCATTCTTGTTGATATGTTTTGCACTATTTCTTCTTATTTCTTTCCTATAAACAACTGAAACACAATTTTTTTGCAACTTTGAAGAAGAAATTTTACACTCACATCATTATAATTGCAAATTGATGTCCGGCTGATGGATATTTTGGAAACAGGGTTTAGTCCGAGCAGTTGGTGTGAGCAATTATGGGCCAAAGCAGCTACTAAAAATACACAATTACCTGAAAGCCCGAGGAGTGCCATTATGCTCGGCTCAGGTGAATGTTACGTTCCATCTTTTCAATGAAATTAAATTTTCTTCTTTCAGGTAACAGGGTAAAGTACTTGAACCATCTTATGATGTCGTGGCCTTATTGCTAACTGCTAATAACTATAACAAAAACAGGCTCAAATAAGTTTCTATCAATTTATATCTTCTGCATTTTGCTTCGTGTCTTCATGTTCATATTAAGTGATTGATCGCTTTGAGTTAAGTACTTAAGATGAGCAAGTGACTCCTTGGCAATCACTGCAAGAATGCATCTTTAAAGAAATTACAAGTATTTCTTTAGTTTTTTCATTGTAGGTAGTGCAATATTTATCGAGTATGCGAAACCCCTATGACTTGTCAATTGAAATTTTCCTTTCGACATTTACTATTATAGTGAGTGAACCACTGAAAAATTGACAATCCGAATCATTTTCCCAATGGATTATCACCAGTCATTGCTTATGAGGATATATACTGAGATGAAATACTAAGTTTTACAAAATAGCTTTTTAATAAAAAAATTTGGCCACTCCTTTCACTTTACAAGTAATTTACTTTCACTGATATTACTTTACCGACATTAATTCACAAATTGTTATTATTGGTTTAAAAATACATTGCATGATTTAAGGTTTCTTAAAACATAATTATTTGAATAAAAAGAAGCCTATCCTCATGTTGTTTTAATTTTTATTTTCTTTTCTGAGATGTCAATCTCATGCCATTCAAAATATCTATTTCAGGTGCAATTTTCACTGTTGAGTATGGGAAAAGATCAGATGGAGATCAAGAATATATGTGACTCTCTGGGTATTCGTTTAATTTCATATAGTCCGTTGGGACTTGGAATGCTTACCGGAAAATATAGTCCATCCAATCTGCCAAGTGGACCTCGGTGCGTAAACATCTTTCCATCTTTTCAAATGTTAGAGCAATTTTAGATTTGTTTTTAGCTGTTAGCAATTTTTTATTCTACTCATTCAATATGATGCTGTGATTTTATAGAGGTCTTCTATTTGGACAAATTTTACCAGGACTGGAGCCTCTATTGAATTCACTTAAAGAAATCGCACAAAAAAGGCGCAAAACTATTCCTCAGGTATTTCATTTTAACTCTCTTTTGGACTTCTTTTTAGCATTTATGGTATTTTTGACCATTACAGGCTTACTGCTATCTGAAATATTTTTTAGTACTTCGTATAATTTGTATGGTCTGTTTCTTACATATTGTGGAGCAAGATTATTCCTTGATTGTGTACTTTGCATGGAAAAGAAATTCCTCATACCCTCAAAATCGTTTTTATTTATTTTTATTGCTATCAGTATTCCTGATTACTCTGTCAAACATAAATTTAAACAAAAAAATAAAAATAAGAATGCTGATGGCCTCTTCTCATCGTTCAGACTTCAGCCATTTAATTTAAGATTCTGGTTGCAGGTTGCGATAAACTGGTGCATCTGCAAAGGTACAATTCCAATTCCTGGAGTCAAGTCAATCAAACAGGCTGAAGAAAATTTAGGTGCCCTTGGTTGGCAACTCACTCCAGACGAGTTACTTCAATTAGAAAATGGAGCACTTGAATCTCCACAACAGATGATTCAAAACATTTTTCAGACAAGGTAGATATGCTCCATTCATCGATTTTCTTTTTCACTTGGGGGTTTCGGGTGCTAATGCAATAAAGTTGGATAACCTGAATGCATTACATGTTACAACCACATTGAGTAACACATCCTTAACATCAGATTGTAAGGAGAGGGTACATAGGCCACTTGTCGAACCTTAAGGATGTTGAGATGCAATTAGTGTACGTTTGGTGCGTGGTACTCTACAATCCACTTTACCAAACAAGTCTTGAGAGTCATTAATTTTCTACCCTCATATCAGAAAGGATGCCCACGATGACCCATATTTTTAACTAGGTGTGATGTGGGGCCATATTAGAGTCATGACATTGTGTCGAAGGCTGAGTTGGCTTCTTGTCTTTCTGAAGAGAAATTGACCACCTCGATAATTTTATCTGTTTTACCTTCCAATTACAGTTAAACCTTTGGAGGAGAGGCATGCCCGATATATCAACTTAGAAAACGACCCGGCTTTAAGTTCAGTACATGCCAATTTATAGTTTCTCGTCCAAGTAGGCAGTGTAATGTTCCATCAGATTGAAAGAAAACTCACAGATTGAAGTCTTGCTGCGAAGGAATACTCTCTCTAAAGTATCGACAATTCCGACTGAAGCTATACGAGAAAATCAAAGACACAAGGAAAAAATATAGGTTGTCTGGTGCTCAATCATAGGTGAAATTCTATTCTTTGTTCATTACAAATGATTGTAAATTGCCTTTCCATGTAAATGAGCACAAATGCATTATTTTGAGACCTAAAGCATTCCATCAATTGCTAGCACTTTCTTGTGTTTGTGAAGTGTTTACATTTACCACCTACGAAGCATGTTTGGTACAATCGACTAGGCATGTTTGGTACAATCAACTAGGCAGAGAAATTGACATTTTCTTGTGTTTGTGAAGTGTTTACAGTTACCACCTACGAGCATGTTTGGTACAATCGACTACCTAGAGAAATTGACATTTTTGTTATGTACGTATCTTTGTGTTTAGTTGATCATATCAAATATGCCATTAACTATTGTACAGCTTTTGTGAACAACTTATTGACCGAGTTTCAAGTTCTCATTCCACTTACTATTTTTTTATTTTTTTATTTTTCTGATTACCGTTTTGAATATATCAATTTTGTATCATCAATAATATTGTCAATAGTGTATGCTCATGTGGGAGTATTAAAATGGGTGGAGCGGCTTAAATCGACATGCGTACATCAAGGCCCAAGTTAGGCATATTACGGGCCTGAACTCTCCCGAGTACCCACCAATGTTGCTAGTCAATCAGCATCAGCTGGGAGGCCCGTTGTTACTTATCTTTATCGATTTAAAATTAAATTATAATTGAAACGAGAAAGAAATATTATCATTGATGTGTTTGCAAGCCATTAGTGTTTGTGAAATATGAAAATAATTAAGTAGGAATTACAAGTATAATGAGGGATTGTTTGATAGGATTTTTTTTTTAATTTCTATTTTTCGTAAAATAGCTTACCAAAAAAGCTAATTAATTTCTAAAAGATTTCTCTTCCGGAATAACTTTTATAGGAAGTCAAATTGGATCAGTACCTTCAACCAAAAAAAAAAAAAAAAAAAAAAAAAAAAAAAAAAAAAAAAAAAAAAATTTTTTAAAAAATTAAAAAAAAAA